AGGACACGTTCAGGAAGTCGGTCACAAAGCGAAGAATGTGAAAAGCGAAAGGATGTGCTCCACGGAAAACAACCCAGAGCTGCAGCCGACATGTAAGTGAATATTTGCGACTGTCGTCCGAGCTCGGTGAGTACGTTGTCATCGCAACGATCAGAAACTAGGCAGCGGTTACTTGGAGATGGCATTAAACCTCCAGAGGCACCGTATACAACCGAGCAGGGGACGCTGGTGGGTTAAGAGTTGCAAGCGCTGTCAGAGGATGAATGTGCCAAACGTTGATTATGTGGTGTCTTTCTATCCTCCTTCAGCGTCCGACCCGGCTCTTCTCCTGGAGCTGAAGACCAGGCGACCTCCGTCCTTGGTGGAGAGAGCTGGATGTGAAACCTGGAGTGTTGACTTCTCTCCGGATGGAGCTTGGTTCGCCTGGTCCATGGGACACGGGATCGTCTGGGTCGTCGCCTGGCCTCTCGACTCCGAGTAGGTTTTACTGTATATTTAATCCGCACGTGATGCATTCAGGCCGCCCTCGAAGATTCTGGTTTCCGTGTCAGGTGGAAGGTGGTGGTGGCAGGTCCTGCACGGGCTTTTCGAGTGAATGATTGATTTTTTTTTTATTTGATTGATTGTGGCACAGAGGCGCCCGCAGGCAACAAGAACACTTGATTCGAAATGAATACAGTGACGAAAACACCGGGGTCACTCGAGCTCAAGTGCAGCCCTGTTCCTTCTACAGAGGCTACTACACAAAAAGTGTAAACATCTTTTTATATACAGTAACTGTTATGCAAAGTGACGGAATCTTTATTTAATCTAAAATATATCGGTAAGTCTAATAGTATTAAAAAAATATATTTTATTTTTACCTAAAGTAAAATGTGTGTAGTTTTATCTGTAGTAATACCGAACAATATGTGTCAGTTACTGTACAAAATCTACAAAATAAATAACTGAAGCGTCAAAATAAGTACTATACTCACATCAAAAGGACGAATAACATAGGTGCATTAAAAGTGTACTCGAGTAAATGTCCAAACTGCTCTTATACAATCACGCTGGGCTTTGTAAGATTAACAGTGGCAGGGGTGGGGTGGGGATGGTGGTGGACAATCAGATTTAACCCCTTGTTTTCTTTTTTAATACACGCCTGTATTTATGTAAGAAATCAAGCCACCTGGGAAAAAGTATTACTTCATGTTCAGCTTGACAGAGTAAACAGTTAAAATGTAACCTTATGATAATATCATTTGGCTTCTATAACCCGTCTCTGTCTTGCACAACTCCACAATAATTATCACAGTCCATTTCTGCACTGGCTTTTGTATTATAAGATCCAGTGTTTAGTGTTATGTGTGGTTTTGAAAGTTAATCCCAGTATGTGAAAATATCCTCATGCAACTGAGCAGTATTTTGGAAATAAGGCATGAATGTGATAAAAACTCCAGAAAATAAGCATTAAAAGCAGCTATTGTTTAAAGTAAGACCAGATATAGATTTTAAAAATAGCTTTAAGTAATGTCATTTATTCCTTTTTTCATTTATTAAAAATTCAAATTTTTCTGTATTTAATATTAAACTTTTGGGTCTTGCTGTTATGCCCTACACCCCCACCCCCACCCCAACCCCCTACCTCTAAATTAGGCCCCTGAAATTGTAGTATTTTTCTGTCTAGTGCCCACAAAGAATTTCCCTTCGGCTCAGCAGTGTTCATTAGTGCCAATTTGTTTGAAAAATGCTCAGCACTGCTGCCAATACCACACAAAATAACAAAACAGTACTCTTTTTTTTTTTCTTTATATTTTTGTTGCGGTAAAGAATTGTTGCTCCATGAACAATGTTTGAATTTGCCTAAATAATTAAATAAGGCAAAAAAAAAAATGTGGCTTACAACTTTAAATACTCAGTAGATTTTGTTGGTACATTTGATAAAACATATGGAAGGAGGCAGAAGAATGCAAGTGGATGTATTCATTCCAGCTATTATTTTAGATTAATGTGAAAGAAAAAAGCAAAACATGAAGACTCAAATTTCAGCTCTCAGTTTACCGTTTAGTTGTTTAGATCTGCTGTGACCAGCAGCACTTGAAAGCTGCATCATTTAATCACCAACTCTAGCTTCACACCGCCTACACTGGAGTTTTTTATGGCATCTGCACTCTTGGTGCTCCTTTCACCCACAGAGAAAGTCAAAATGGAGAGACTGACAGAGGAGACAAAAGCTTCAGTTGTGGTCACCCAGTGTGGGGGCTCGCCTTCGGGCCCAGACCTCCGAAATCAAATGCAACAGCGTGTCCGGCTAAAGCACGATCAGAAGGGAAAAACAGCCTGCTTCTGGCCACGGGCTTGGAGAACGGGGTGATCAAAATCTGGAACGTTTTAACAGGTGAGATTTTTATTTTTCTGTGACGGTTAGTTTTGCTTGGCTGAATTAAATGGATTTTCAAATCGCTTGTTTTTTCTTTTCCTTTCCTTTAGGCAGTGCTGTTTTTGATCTCCACGGCCACGAAGGGGTTGTAAGGGACCTGGTGTTTCCTCAGAATGGGACGCTCACACTCATATCATCCTCTCGGGACAAAACTTTGAGGATATGGGACCTGGCTCATAAAGGTATTTTTCAGATATTTATGAAAAATACCTGTGAGTGGCAGTCACAACTGTCTTATTTTTAAAAAATGTTTTGGACAAAATATAATCTACATATTTGGTGCGTCCTTTTTACTTGGGCTCAAATTGTTTTCTTGCAGATAACCTTAGAACTGCGAGGCTTTTCAGCTGAATTTTCAAATGTCAAAGTACACCTCGAGCTTGCCTGATCACGCATTTAAAAAACCGTTAAATATTAACTGTCACGTGTCACCAAACAACTCTGGAGGCTTTGCAGACAAGGTCTTAATGACTGAAGCTGTCTAATCATTACTTCACCCCTGTTTAATCTTGTGAATCTCAGCTGAAATAAACCTTCTGTTCTAATGTAAGAGGTTAAAGCTAGCAGATGGCTGTGCTTACACATTCAGGAATCAGGAGCTGAGATGTACTGTCCTTTAAAAAAATAAAGTAAAAATAATGAGGCTCTGTAGTCTCTCGTTTACATTTACCATGTTTTTCCTGTCTGTTTTAGGGAAAAAGGTGCAGGTGCTTTATGGCCATAAAGACTGGATTAGTTCCTGCTGCGTATCATCTGACTGTAGCATGATTGCGTCTGTCGGGAGATTTGACAGGGTGAGGTGTTTCATTGCAAAAGTACCGTATTGGGTCATATTCATCAAGTCCTGAGCGCTGTAAAAGATAACTTAAGTAATTTGTTTGTGCATGTAAAACTCAAACACTTGTAAATGCTTAATGTCTCTAAGCTTGCTGAATGTGTCCTTTTGTCCTTCTTTTTATCAGTTTCTAATGAACATTATCAACATGGATTTGGGCGACCCTGTTCATTCAACTCTGTGTCAAATTTAATGTTGTTTGTCCACAAGTCTAATCAGGAGACTGGCTCAAAGTGCGTGATACAAATTGTCTAAAAGGGCAGCTTTAAATGCAATCCTGCATCACGTTAATTTTTCTAGGACAATGAAATTAGTTTGAAGGTATATTCAAGTATTTTCCTATTTGAATTCTTGCTCCTAACAAGTTTGTTGATATTTGCTTATGTAAAGTATTTAATCTTCTGCAAACTTCAGTTATTTTAGTGGTGTTTTCTTTTGACAGCTACCAGTATTGATGGATATGAGTTGCATACATCATAGACAAATTATAGGAAAAACCTGAATGCTTGATCTCTCCACTGAGCGTGGCTCTGTTATGCTGTGGGGCTATTTTAGGACATGTTGTTTTGAGTAATCATCTTTATCTGGTGATGAAACAGTTCTGTCCTCATGGGGGTGGTCTCTCACAGGATGACAATATCATTATCTAAAGGCACTGGTTGGTTTGAGTATGAAAATACAGAGACTTATATTTTATGTCTTTAGTCAGCTGACACCAACCCAGTTAAACACCTATAGGAGATATCCTTTTTCAGTGAAATTATCTGCTAGTGGGTGCTTCTGAATATCTATTGTAGTGGTCTGACTGTTTTACCTGCTCCTGCTATTAAAATGTTTTTAGGCCATTTAGCATCTTCTAGAAACTTCTGAAGCACCAGGAAGTCTTAACACTCCAATCAAACTGACAATTTTGCATATTCTCATTTTCAAAGGAAAGCAGACAGCATAACGTTGTGTGATATTAGACTTTAAGAGCATAGTCACTCGCTGCTGCGTGGTTCAGGGTGTCCTGCTGACACCAAGCAAGTACATCACTGACAAATTACTAGCTTTTGTAAAAAACTTTTTTTTCAGTTCTGCAGCAATTAATTACCCCAGGGACAAGCTACTTTGAGCGTCGACTAAACCTACATTAATTTTCCAAATTAAAAACAGCCCTTCCAGCAAGGTATAAAGTCTCATTAACCCTGCATGATTATACTTTGATCAGATGGTGTGTCTGTGGAGTCTACGTTCATATACATTCATCAGGAACCTGACAGGAGGGGCCCACAAGACCGTGTACCTCCTGTCTTCTTGTGACTTCTCTCCTGACGGGGCAATTCTCGCCACTGCAGCCTTCAGCGGCTCCAGTTGGTGGATCGACCTCTGGGACCCATACACAGCAGAGAAGCTGGCCACTCTGGCGTGAGTTTGTACAACTTTGAGGGTTAAAATTGTGCACAAAGACTCCATTTTATGGGTTACATAAGAAGACCGCAAATTACTCAAATAAACGGGTTGTTACCACTGAGTTTAAGTACAGAAGCTTAAATCTGTGAACCAAACAGCCCACACTGTCATTATCTCTGTTTGCGTATGACACGGCGCGTGAAAGTATGTCCTAGTGTCCTTGTCTTTTGCAATCTGTTTTATATGTATACTATGTGGAACGTCTGACTTTGACTTGGTGCAGTTCAAAGTCATCTCTTTCTCTTCTGCACAGTGACTACTTTGAAGATTATGGGCAAAACCAAATATCAGCAATACAGTTCTCTCCAAACGGTCTGCACTTGACACTTGTGACAGACGACAGGTCAGTTATCTGAAAATGCTATATTATATAACTTAAATGTTTTACACACTGGACAGATGCTTTCAGACAGATGTGTTGCGTTTGCAGAGCTCTTAGGATTTGGGAGCTGGGGGAGAAAGGGATGGTGATGGAGACAAAAAGAGACAGAGACTCTAATGGACTGTGCTGCAAGTACCATCCACAAGGGGGAGTTGTTGCTACGGGGTAAGGATGCTTTCATTTCAGCATAGATTCACAATATTACAGAGGGTGGTCGATAGACATTATATGCCAAAATTCAGTTTACCCCACTTCCTAGCTTTATTTATTTTATTTTTTTATAAAGTATATTTATACAGCTAAACTTATGCATGATATTAGGGTCTCATTTCATTGATTTTTAGTCAAGAAAAAAACCCAGTTATTAAGCTGTTAAATATAATATTGGTGGGGGGATCAGATATGCAGATCCATCTAGTGCAGTGGCTCCTTTGAAAATACAAAAGTGGCTGAAAGCAATGCAGTGTCTAAAACTCTGTTCTAATACATAATGTTGGTAAATTACAAGCAACGATTTTGTCTTTTCGAGTACTAATAGTCAAAGCTACCTGTCGGTACCATGGTAACATCAATCTTAGGCTCGAGTTAGTACGGAAGTTTGATTCATTTAAAGGTGAAAATGAGACCTGTCTTTACATTATTGACACCATCTGATTTGCATTAGACGGATTAAATCAGCGAGCAAAATTAGGACCATCCCTGAACACACCAGTCTAAAGTATCTTTGTGAAAACTGGCCCCTGAATAAACATGCAAATGTGTCTCTTCTGGCAGAACCAGAGATGGCCACGTGAGGTTCTGGAGGGCACCCAGTGCGGTGCCCAGCTTGTGCCACCTGTGTCGATCTATCCTGCGCCACTCTATCTCCACGCACCAGATTGAGGCGCTTCCCCTCCCCAAGAGGATCCTCGAGTACCTCACATACAAAAACATCCCCGAACGCCTCAAGTCCTGCTGCTCCTCAGATGAAGAGGAGTGGGAAAGTTAAATAGGAACTTTAAAAATAAATAACTGACATTTTCAGCGATTAACTATGATCCTAAAAACGCCTTGTATTTTCTGATAACAAATGCTTTGAAAGCTTGATGAAGCATATTTTAAGATACTTTAGATGCAACATTCCTGCACTAAGATTTCATTTATTGCACTACTGCGGTACTACAAAGCAAACATTCAGTGTTCACATTGTTGACTTGAATAACAGTTTTATACTATTAATTTATTGTGTAAATATCAGATATATATCATTTCTAATTCCTGTGTTTACCATTATATGCACTGCTAATGTACTGGCACATTAATATTATAGCAACTGGACTTATAAGAAAGGGTTTTATTAAACTGATTAAAACATACACATGTTCAATGACTTTTTTTTGGACAAGAATGAACTGATTACCTGGTTGCAGTGATACTAAACTGAAAATAGGATTTTTCAAGTCCACCTTTTAACCAAAAGTGCCAAAAGGATCTTTTGTTTTGTTTTTTTCACTGTGCTGATCGACTTCCATCTTGGTTCTGTATGCAGATGTGAGTGAGTCAGATAGCTGCTAGCATTGTTCCAGACATCTTTTACACTGTACAGCAGGTTCAGTGTGGTGGGCAATTATGCACTGGACACAGTTTTCTTCCCAAATAAACAAATAACTGGTTATCCTTTTTATCCTGATGCCCCCCACCCCCCACTGTGGAAAAAGACTATCGTTGCATTACTGTATCTAAGGTGCTTCGCTGACCACGAGCTCTCTCACTGCCTGGAAAGCTGCAACCATGGAGCTCAGCTGGATCTTCTCGCTGGTTCCCGATGCAAGCCGATGTCTGAAGAGATAAAACATGAGCAATAATGGAAATAAAAAAATTGCCACAACGTGTGGAAATCAACATGTTGGCGTCTTTATTATATTAACATGACTTGTTACATTGTAAATATTTTTTGAAAAAGCATCTCACTTACTCTACGTCGGCCAACTTGATGAGCAGACTAATCCGAATAGCGGGAGGAAAATCCACTTTAAAGAAAAAAACATTTGTAAAAATTAGATACTTCGCTTTTGATAGTAAAAACAGAAAAACTTTCATTAATGCACAAACTTGTGAGCTTAAAACTTTAACACTGATCATGTCACTAACTGCCAACCTTTCAGTGGGTTTTAAAGTGGCCTCATTGCGTGTTTTCTTTAACATGTGCTGTTACTATGGTTGACACTCATGTTTCTGCTCCAAATACTTTATGGTTAGGGCTGGTCTGTGAGCACAGCAACCCCATCCACCTGTTCAAACCTTATGTTTGCGAGAAGCAGCCAATCAAATGTTGGCATAAAAGGAGGGTGGCTTTTGTGCTGCGGTGCTTAAATTAAAGAAAGAAATAAAAACGTGATTTTTTCCCCCCTTTGCATGTTCCTTACCTCTGTGTACAAGCAGATGAACCTCAGTGAGAATATCATGCAAAGCCAAACCTTTCAGAGTCTTCAGCTCAAGGATTTCTTTCATCCATGTGTTAAAGAAATGCAAGATCATAAACTGTACTACTAATATGAGTTTTTGTTTGTTAACCCACCATTCAAAAAAAAAGTCACCAAATCCTTAAAAACATGTGCAAAGCATTTAGGTACAGCTAGCTTCTATTAACCTGAAGTTTTATTTGCAAGAAAGAAATGTTCTTTCTTGGAATATGGAATATGCTAAACTTCATAAGAAATGTACAAAGTATAAAATGGCATAGTCAGAACTTAAATATAGGATACGGTTGTACGCTGAGGTAAAGTCTTTGTTGAGGCACCAGTCGAGGATGTTGGCTATATCTGAGCGGAGGGGGTGCCCTGTGCAGGTGTACACTGTGTCTTCTGTGACATTCCCATAGGCCATACTGGTGCTCTGAAATCACAGAGATGGATGACATGCAGTACAGTTTACCCATCTGCAGTTTGGATATGTAACATTGGCCACTTCATTAGATATGCCTGTTTGAATTCTTGTTAATGCAAATACAATCACATGCTAGCAACTCAATGCATTACGGCATGTAGACATGGTCAAGACAACCTGAAGAAGTTCAAACGGAGCATCAGAATGGGGAAGAAAGGTAACCAGAAACTGCTGGTCTACTGGGACATTCCCACACAATTGTCTCTAGGGTTTACAGAGAATGGTGCAAAAAAAGGAGGAAATATCCAGTATGTGGTTATTCTCTGGGAGAAAATGCGCTGTTGGATGTTAGAGGAGAACGTGCAGCTTAATAGAAGGCAATTTGTGCTGTAACACTGTGATGACAGGGTCAGAATCTGGCTTGAACACATTTATTCTGCTTTGTATCAACAGTTCAGGCTGGCGATGGTGTAATGTGTGGGAGATATTTTCTTGGTACACTCTGTGTCACAAAGCTCAAATCATCTCAGACTGCTTTCTTGAACATGACAATAAATTTATTGTACTTAAATGGCCTCCACACTCACCAAATCTCAATCCAATAGAGCACCTTTGGGATATATTGGATGTAAAATGTAGTGGAGATTTACATCCTGAATGTGGAGCAGAAAAATCTAAAGCAACTGTGTGATTCAATCATCTCGAAGGAATGGTACAAAGAAATAAGGCAGCTCTGAAGGCAAAAGGGTGGACGCAACTAATCAAGTGGCCAGTGGCTATATTTTCGCTGTTTAAAAAACGGCCACACTGAACATGACATCCACATCTTAAACAACGCTGATGATGAACTTCTGGCCATACCTGCAGTATGTTGAGCGATCTTCTCATGTCACCCGTTGATAAGGTCACAATAGCCTTCATTCCATCTGGCGTGATGTCAATACTGTCACAAAAAGTAATGACATAATCAACTATTTTTAAATCATATCAACGTTAAATTAAAACTTGCGACATGAATAAATAACTGATGACATTTAATAAATAGAGCAATCAAAAATAATTCCAAGTCCGTTCATTAATTTCTTCCATCTCAAGTTGCATGTAGCAATAAATGTGAAACAATGAGAAAATTCATTTCCTATTGTGGTATTTGTTGGTTTTTCAGGGCCTGGTACAGTTGAGAGGACAGGGTTGATGTTGCCCTCTGATTTAAACTGTTTTCAAACACACACAGAAGCCCTAAACTTCTAAACATTACCCAACAGAAATGTAACATAAGAACAAAGACTCTGGATTTTAAACAATCTTTAATGTGGTTGGTATTATGTTTGTCTCTATTAAAATTAAACTACCATAAAAATTAGAGAATGCTCACTTACAAGGAAATGAACAAACTTATAAATTCAGCAGGGGATCAAATAATTATTTCTCTCAGTATATGCAGATTAGCGGAGCCCAGGGAGGCCAACAGGTACAAATACATTTGGCAAGTTCATTAGCAATTCTGGGAATAATTCAATGAGATGTAAAAAAAAAAAAAAAAAAAAAACTTGTTTTGGGAGAGAAAGCATTCACACATTAACTCACTTCTCC